AAGGAGGGACTGGTGGGAGACTGGAGGGCGGGAGCCAGGGAAAGCCACAGGATGTGTGATTCTCCTCTCTCGGCCTTGGAAGTGTCTCTGGCAGAGGTTGCTCAACGCAGCAATCTCTGGTCTCTGGCAACACTGTCTTCCCCCAGCAATGCCTCAGCCCTTCCTCCTGTTGCTGGTCTCCATGGGGTTTGCATAAACCGTTTGGCTTCCTGGCAATTCCACCACCTGTATAACCATTTTCTCTGCTTGGGATCCCTAGAGTGGGTTCTGTTTGCTGGCAGAGCCTTAGCTGAGAGTTCTCTAATGAGTGTCTCAAAATCAGCACATCTTAAACAAACCCTTGATTTCCCTCCCAAGCTGCTCTTCTTGGTACTTTCTCCATTTGAATTTGAGTATTTTTCTCCACCTCCACTGCTCCCACCGCCCCAGTCCAAGCCATCATTAACGCTCACTTGGACTATTGCAGTAGCCTTCCAATTTGTCTCCCTGCTTCCATAGAATACCCTAGCAGTCAGAGTGATCTTTCTAAACTATAAACCAGAGTATGTTGCCTTTCTATTGAAAACCTTCCACTGGCTTCTCCTCTACAATTGCCCTGCAAGGCACCCAGCTACTTCTAAGACTTCATGCTCCACCACTCTCTACCACCACATTCTGTTCTTCCTAGAACCCATCAGGACATTCCTGCCTCAGGGCCCTTGCACGTGCTAGTCTCTCACCCCAGAATGGTCTTTCTCCAATATCCATATGGTTCTCAACCACCTTCCTGCTTGTGTTCAGTGGTCACTTCATCAGAGTTCTTTTCTGATTACCTTACACATAACATAGCATCCTCCTTTACGGTCTCTTTACTGTTTAATAGTTCTTCGTAGAACTTTCTAGTACTTTATATTATATATCTACTTATGGTGTGTCTCTTCCCGTTGGAATGTAAGGAGGAGAACAGGGACCTTATTTGGTTGGCTGCTATACACCTAGTACTCCTAATGCTTGGCATTTTAGAAATAAAAATAAAATGTACAGCAAGATTGTTTTGCATCAGACACATTGCTAAGAGCTTTATACGGAACATATTATTTCTTTTCACTTATAGAGCCCACGGCTCTATGGCCGGCGCAGAGGGTGCCGGCCCCTCACGAGATTATAGGGCAGAGCACAGGCAGCAACTGCAGGGCGTGCACGTCGCCCTGGGGTTCTGCCCGGGCTGGGAGGCGGAGCCTCCGCCCCTGGGGCCCGCCCACAGCGCATGCTCCGCGGGGCGGGGCTCGGCCGCACTTCCCGGCGGCCCGCGGCTCCGATTGGCTGAGCGCACAGCCTGAGCGGGGAGGGGCGCCTGCCCCCGCGTCCGGCAGATCCCGCCCCTCCAGGTGCCCTGCTAGGCGAGCGGGCACTGCGGCTCTGGACAGCTGCCACGGAGGATCCGTGCAGGTGAGTGGGGCTCCGGCTGCGCCGCCTGGTGAAGTGCGGGTGCGGCAGCTCCTGCCTCCGTGCGCGCCACCGCCCGCCCCACCCAACCCCGCCGCGAGCCTCTGCAGGCTGGGGGGACCCCCTGCGCTTGGCGCCAGGAGCATCCCACCTGGAGCACCTTACTTGGAGCATCAGCGGCCGCCCCTTCTGAGGGCGGCGCGGTCCAGGTTTCGGGGTGGGGGTCGCCCTGCAGTTACCCGCCCTTCCCCGGGAGCCGTGCGATTTCCTGGACGGGAGCGGCCGCGGATCAGCGAAGCCACCCAGAGCCCGCGGACAGTGGTGACAATCGGGACTCCTGATTCCCAGCTACCCCTTTCCCCCGGTCAAGCCTCCCTCTAAACCGGTTGTCACTTTGCTTCCGGTACGTAACCCAGGTGTCAATCTCAGTCCTTCGAAAAAAGTTTTAACGGTACTGCGCAGATTTCCGCAGAGTAAGTTTACACGGGTCCGCCTCGCTGTCGAGGGTGTCTGGCGCGTGGCGCGAGTTTAGAAGGGAGCCGAGATTATTGGTGGTGGTGATGGTGGCATTATTAGAAAGCAAAATGGAAGGCTGCTTTGGGGTTTTTCTTTTCTTCAGCTACCGAACTTTTGGACCCCTCCCTATCCTATATTTCAGTCTGAACTGTGCATCCATATTTGCCTGGCACCTCTATAGGCCCTAGGGCTTCAAAGTTGAGCCAGACTCCCGCTCTGCCCTCGGGCTGGGGTGAATAAGGGCAACGGAGCGCATACTTGGGTTGTTATAATGTAACAAGAACGGAGGTAAAAGTTGCCCAGGAAAAAGAGAGCCCAGGAAAGCACACAGAATCCGGTCTGGATGGGGCTTTCCTCTCCGTTTAAACTTCTCAATCATCAGCCTTCCAGGAATCCCTTGACTCCTCGGTTGAGAAACTTGCTTAATGTTGTGTTGGAAGGGAAAATTAACTAGGGGACGTGTGCAGTTGAGATCCTCTCTGGAGCCTCTCTGCGGACAGCTGGTCCAGGTTCTGTAGGGTAGGACTGAAGGGAAAGCATCTGCTACCAGATGATTCTTTGTTTTATTTTTTATTTTTTAAAATGTTTATTTGCTTTTGAGAGAGAGAGAGAGAGAGAGCGCGCGCACAAGTGGGAGGAGGGGCAGAGAGAGAGAGGGAGACACAGAATCCCAAGCAGGCTCCGGCTCCAAGCTGTCAGCACAGAGCCAGTTGAGGGCTCGAACTCACAAACCTCCAGATCATGACCTGAGCAGAGGTCAGACGTTGAACTGATTGAGCCACCCGGGTGCCCCATGATTCTTTGTTTTAAATTGTGGGCATAACCTTTCTTTTTCCTTTTCAACCTACACCCTATTCCCTAGTAAAAAATGAATTTTGGGGAGGTTGATTTTATGATAAACTGTGGCCCGGGACTATGCAGCCCTTCCCAACCACCATAAAGAAGTATAAACTTGTGAGTTTGCTTTGCCAGTGCAGATCCAAGGTGGCACGACTTTCTTTGTAGATGTTCAGAGTACACCGCTGCTTGGAGAGGTAAGTGCAGCACCAACGGACTTGCTTTGGCAGGATTCACAATTTGCAATCTCCTGAGAACCAGTCTCCTAAGATTTGTGGAATACTCAGTTAAGCACAAGTCTCAAAAACAGCCATATTATTGACATACATTGTAAGTGAACGGTTTTAGATATTTTGACGTAAGTTTATACTCCTGCGAAACCATTGGTAAAGTCAGCATAGTGAGCCTGTCCGTCCCCCTCTGGTGCGTACCCCTTTGCAGCCTTTTCTCTCTCCCCGTTTCTTCTCAGGCAGCCAGCCCTGGATCTCCTTTCTGTCAGTAGAGATTAGGTTGCATTTTGTAGAGTTTTATATAAACAGACTCCTACGTATTTATTCTTGTTTTTTTGGTCTGGCTTTCATTCACCATAATTAGTTTGAGATTCATCCATGCTATTGTGTGTTCATTCCTTTCTATTGCTGAGTAGTATTTATATACCCTGTCCATGTCCAATCCATAACCATTCACCCATTTTGGACATTTGCGCTTTTCCAGTGTTTGGTTATTACACACAAAGCTGTTATAAACATTTTTATACGAGTCTTTGTATGAATATACATGCACGCATCTTTTTTTTCTAAAGTGATTATATTAAAAAAAATGTAGGGTGCCTAGAAACCACCGTTCCAGCTTTGCTTCTAACCATCCAGTTTCCTTGGGAGACTCACTGTACTTTGGCTTTCACATGCATGCCCAAGGTCTTTGCTGTGCTGTGATTTTGTACCATCACTGCCAGAAACTAGATCGTCTTTGTTGGTGGTTGGAGGGTCTCAGAAGGTGAAAGGGATGGTCTTCTATCCTGTTTGTCTTGCAGGCTTTCTTTCATTTCAGTTTTTTCCTTGGATGACCTATTTGTTCTACTTATTTTTTTTTTTAATATTTTTTATTTATTTCTAGGAGAGAGAGAGAGAGAGAGAGAGAGACAGCGTGAGCAGGGGAGGGTCAGAGAGAGAGGGAGTCACAGACTGAAACCGGCTCCAGGCTCTGTGCTGGCAGTCAGCACAGAGCCCGACGCGGGGCTCGAACCCACAAACCGCGAGATCATGACCTAAGCGAAAGTCGGAGGCTTAACCGACTAAGCCACCCAGGCGCCCCTGTTCTACTTATTTTTTAAAATTTATTATTATTATTTTTTAACTGAAGTATGGTTGACACAATGTGACATTCGTTTCAGGTGTACAACCTAGTGGTTCAGTGTCCTTGGGTGTTATGCTGTGCTCCTGGCAGGTGTAGCTACCATCTATCAATTGACCATTCCAGTGCCATTGACCATATTCCCTGCCCGGAACTTTTCATCCCTGTGATGTATTCATCCCATAACTGGAAGCCCCTGTCTCCCTCTCCGCTTCACCCATTTTGCCCAACTCCCCGCCGACAGCCGCTTGTTCTCTGTATTTATGGGTTTGTTTATTCATTTGTTTTTTAGATTGTACATATACGTGGAATCACGTGGGATTTGTCTCTCTCAGTATGGCTTTTTTCACTTAGCGTAACATTTGGGTGACAAGTTTGAATCCTGACGTGTAATTTTGGGCAAGAACGGAAATAAGTGGACAGTGGGAGGCACACACTAAAACTGCACTTAAAAATGAGAACTTAAAGTGATTAAATCATGATTAGAAGGACAAGTGGGAAGTTAACAGGCTCTGGAATTTTGTAGATCTTCCTTTTTTGGGGGCCTATTGTCCTCTAAATCCTTTTCTCTGTTATTTCTCTGGAACGATTTGTTTAACCTTTTGGTGAGAGGGTGAGTGGGTGTGCTGGGCTCCAAAGGTCACATGGTAACTGGGGATGGAAGGTGGAGAGGTTTCCTAGGAAAAAAAATAATTCCTCATTTTTTTCTGTTTCCAGATATGGTTGGAGTCTTTTGCTTCATGCTTGCCCTTGACTTGACTTTGACTTGTCCTAAACCTGGTTCAGAATATTTTTATGGGAGCACTAATCTACCAGCATAATTTGTGCAGTGAAATTCAGACAAATAACAATAGACTGTTTTTATACAGAATGAAAATGCAGCTCCTGGGGTTGGTGCTCTGTTTGGTCCTTGGGACCCTGCAGTTCGAGGCGTCCGAAGGGAAGCTGGTCGCTCTGGATCCTGAAACAAATATGAACGTGGTAAGTGTCTCAAAATCTCAAAGATGCTTTAACGTTTTTTTTAAAGTTTTATTTATTTATTTATTTTGAGAGAGACAGAGACCGCGTGAGTGGGGGAAGAGCAGAGAGACAGAGGGAGAGAGAGAGAATCGCAAGCAGGCTCAACACTGCTTGCGCAGAGCCTGACGCGGGGCTCGGACTCACGAAACCGTGAGATCATGATCTGAGCCGAAACCAAGAGTCTGACACTTAATTGACTGAGCCAACCCAGACGCTCCTCAAAGATTCTTTTAAATTGCATATGTGACAAATGTCAATTATTTTCTGAAATCCAGTTAAGTGGGCCACGTGAAACCACCAACCAATCTCTGTACATTATCATTGTGCTTTTCGTTGAATTCTCTGAAGTTTAGGTTTGGTTTGCTAGGCTTTCCCACCAGGTAATGTGTATTTTACAAACTGCATTTAATTGTTAAAACTACATGCTCCTTAATGGGATACATGGAATTTTTATAAATTTATTTCAGTTTTAAGTCTCACTGAATTTGTTTAAGGAACGATAAAAATTTATCAAAACTTTGTAGGAATGCTACTACTGAGTGCTGCTGTTATAATACATTGAACAAGGAGTGTGATTAGCAGTGTCTAGGGGACACAGTTCAATACAAAAATCAAAATATCTGAAAATAATTTTGTTAGAACAAATAAAGCAAAAAAATTTGTGGAGGAATTAACATCTCAAAGTTGAAATTAACATATCAAAGTTATTAGTCTTAAGGAAACAATAAAAGTTGGAACTATCTCATTTAGGAATAAAACATTGGGAAAATACAAATGACTAGAGAAAATAGCTACTTTAAAACAGATGAAGCAGTGACCCAGCCAAAAGTCAGGACAGTACCATTAGAGGCTGATAAATACAAAGTGAGTCAAGAGAATGTATTCTGATATCAGGGTCTTAGGGTCAAGTTTTATTTCTTGTCCCCAATTTTTTTTTAATTCCTCCCCCTCCTTTAGTTTTTTTTTTTTTTTTTTTTTTTGTAAAAATGATAGAATTAAATTCTTTCAAATACTTGTGGTAGAGAGGATAGTAAGCACTTACATATATTAAATTTAGATAACTGAATTATCCATACTGAGCTCCTGATTAATCAGCAGTTTCTCCACGGACAGTTCCTTATGGTGAAGTGAATTTGATAATTTCCTACTTTTCATCTTTTCTTGTCCTCCAGCTCCACCTTGCCATTCTGTATTTTATTAGTGTAATTTCATCAGTTCATTGATTAAAAACAGATTAATGCTACACTTTGTTTCCCAGGATGGGACCTCTTAAAATAAGGATAATGGCAGATGACAGGATTAGGTGGCATATTAAGAAAAGAAAGAAAGAAGAGTGTTTATTTGTACCTGGGAGCCAGACTGGAAACAAAGAAGCCCAAAGCGGTGGTGAAATTAGACACACTCGGTGTAGAACATGTTAGAATGTTGAAACTGAGGTTAATCAAACACCTGGGTAAAATCAGTGGAGGATTTACTCTTGCATGGGGCGGGGGAGGGCGGGTGCTACTAAAATGTCACTAACAACTGGTTTCTTAAAGCCCGGAGAATGCCCTCTGACATTTTGTCTTCTCATTTGCCTGTTAATGTGGGAGATCTTGTCAGATTCTGTGCACAGAAATTCCATGATTCTTTTTCTCTACAGAGTGAAATTATCTCTTACTGGGGATTCCCTAGTGAGGAACACTTCGTTGAGACAACAGACGGCTATATTCTCTGCCTCCACCGAATCCCTCATGGGAGGAAGAATCGTTTTGACAAAGGTATGGGTGTCTTCTGTGGTGAGGTAGGAAAGTTCTGGAAGGTACCCACATTGCTGGAATGCGACTGGTTTCTGTGTCAGTAATCAAGTTAAGATGTAACTTAAAAACATTGAAATGGGTTATTTTTAGGCCAAAGTACTAAACGTGTTACATTTATGCAAGGCATATGAAAATACTTGAAGAAGCAAAGACAAGTCTCATAATTTCACATTTTGCTTAATGATTTGAAGGTCAGTTTTGTTTGATGATACGCTGAAATCTTTGCTTTTCTTGTTAAAAGGAAGCATCTTATTAGTGAAATGTTTTGAGCATTAAGTAGATCACTTTTGCTGTTTGAATATTAATTGTTTGAATGGACAGTATATTCACATAGCTCAAAACTTGGAGTAAAAAGACATATAGTGAGATACCTCATCCTTTACCTCCCCAATTTTGAATGTATTCTTCCAAAATCTCTTTAACTTTTTTAGCTCTAAAAAAAAATCTTTAGAAACGAAGACAAACATAGGTGATTATTTTTCCCTACTTCCGATTTAATAAAAAAGGTAGCATAGAGTGCACATTCTTTTGTTACTTGAATTTTTTACTTATTATTATATAGATCATTCCATAGAATACTTCACCATTCGGACGCTCAGAGGGCTCAGTTGGTTAAGCATCCGACTCCTCGTTTCAACTCAGGTCATGATCCCACGGTTAGCAAGTTCGTGCCCCGCCATGGCTCTGTATTGACAGTGTGGAGCCTGCTTGGGATTCTCTCCCTTTCTCTCCTCCCTTCCCTTGCTCATGCCCTTTCTTTCTCTCAAAATAAATAAATAAACTAAAAAAACAACAAAAAAAGAATACTTCATGGAACACTTGGTATTGTACTGCATAGCTATTCCATGATTTATTTGGCAGGTGTCCTTGTAATGGGCATTTGGGCTATTTCTAGTCCTCTGGTAGAAGGCAAATACTGCTGCTGTACATAACCTTGTATGTGTGTGAGTTTGTTTATAAGATACATTTCCAGGAATAGAATTTTTGAGTCAGGATATGTACATTTGTGATTCTAATAGATACTGTTAAATCACTCTTCATGCGATCTTGTTCTGGTAGTTACTCTCACCAGCAAGATATGAAAGTTCTTACAGTTTTGGAGATATATATGTTTATATCTTCCCATAGCAAACCTGCCATTTCTAGGAGATGAATCAATTTCTAGACACACTATTAGAATTGTTAAACACACATCGGAATGAGGATCTGATCCCAATTGAGTCATCCCTCTGGACGTACTTATTCTTTAACAGTTTCTGTTTCTAGAGATCTTCCTTGGAAAACTAAGGTTGAGATTAAGGTAATTTGATGACTCAGTGTCCTTCAATTAAAATTTTATATGAGCAGAAGAGCCTTTTTGCCTTAGTTCCTTCCCAAATTATTATTCAAAGCAAACTTAAAAACCTGTGTTAACATGAGCTTTGTATCATTATTTGTTTTCTTTCTGAATATAATCTGGTCTATTTTTTTCTCTCATAGCTTCTAACTATGATAAGGCATTTTATAATGTGTAAGTGGCTGAGACAGCCAGTGCTCTTTTTGAAATTTCATTTCTCATTTTTTTTTTAAATGTTTATTTATTTTGAGAGAGAGAGAAAGAGAGAGAGAGAGGGAAAATCTCAAGCAGACTCAATGCTGTCAGGAAAGATCTTGACATACGGCTTGACCCCATGAACTGTGAGATCATGATCTGAGCCAAAATCAAGAGTTAAGAAATCAAGACGCTTAACTACCTGCACCACCTAGGCGTCCCTCATTTCTCATTCTTGAGGTTTTTATGATTTACAGATTCATGCCATTAAGCTTCCTTCTTGTAAGTATGTTACAAAAATGAGCAGTGAGCTGAAGTGAGGGCTTCCGTTTTTTTATTCTGCTCAAAACACACAAAATGTATATTTTATTCCAGAATAAACATATGATCTTAGTTTCTTTGCTTTTTTTTTTTTCCTTTTTTAGTAAACCCTTTGATTTTAGATCCCATATAAAGAAGAATATGTACTGATCATTTCTTCTCTTAAAAGTGATCAGGTGACTAGTATAATTAATAAAGTGAATCATCGTTAAAAAGATGCAGGGAACTGCAGCGAAAACACGCTTGGAGAATGTGCCTCCTCTTTTCTCCATGTGCACCCCCAGAATTCACCCAGCAGTTAGAACAGACAGTGTGCGAGCACGACCACTGTGGTGCAGGGCTGTGCCTGCCACGTGAGGAAGCCAGCACGAGCCTTGATTTGCTCCCCGGGGGCAGGAAGGAGTGAGGGCAGCTGAGTGTGCCATCTCATCAGCTGTGAGGTCCATGTGCGCGTCCCCCTCTGTGCACCTTGGAGTCTCCATCTGCAGGAACAGTTCATTGGCTGCGATGATCCCAATGTCCTCCCTTAGTCTTTGTCACTCTGATCCTATGGGTTATAGTCTACACTTTTTTTTTTTTTTGCCAGGGGTGCATAGTGTGGGGCAGTGGGTGGGTACCCGCAGTCTTGGGAATGGGGAGCACAGACGGAAAGCATTCTCAATGTGGGCACGGTGCTAGGTCTGTACCCTCTTCCTCTGTGCATAGACCCTTCTCTAATGGTTTGCACACCTGTGGTCCAGGGCAAGGTCTCCTCATTGTCCCCTCCTCCTCCTCAAGAGCAGTGTTGTCAGTGGTGTTACTTTGGCTCATTTCAGCCAAATCGACAAAAAAGAATTCCTAAGAGCCCTTTCCACCCAGCGTGGAACTCATCATCTTATTCAGGCCACCCCTCTCCTGACTTCCTCCCCTGTTCATAATACCGTCCTCCTCCTCCTGCTCTGGAAACTCCAGAGTCCTTCTCGAGTCCCGTGCTTCTGTGGCTGAGCCCACCTTACGTGGCTTCAGTCCATCCCCGTCTTTGCTTGGCCAGGCCACCACCCTAGTATGCTCTCGTGACCATTCAGCTGGGTGCCGAAAAGAAGCTTAGAACCCGAAGGAGGCTTTGCTTTCATTTTCGAGGCTTCCCATGTATTAGAGAAAGGAAGAATTTCAAAACTGGTCTATGGAAACTGCTGATCTTTTAAGAAATTAATGCTTTTAATATCCACACAAATAATGCCTGGCATCTGTACTAATTATAAGGCATTGCAGGATACGTTAAAACATTTCTTTATTTATTGTGCATGAAGTGAAACCGTCCCTCTTACCCTTTTCGGTGTGGTTTTCTCCATCTTTGTGCTCTTGGAGGTGCTGCACAAGCTGAGAGAGCCGTGTGGGCAGCGTGTTCGTGTCGTGTTGGAGTGGTCCCCTCTGGAGCCCCCCACTTGCAGATTTGGGGAGGGCCGTGTGGCCACACGGCTACACTTCCTGCTAACCTCACTCGTCCATCTTGTGCAGTTTTGCAGGGTTAAGCTTCTTAGAGCCCAGGGGTCGTTACATGGTGCCGGCCTTTCAGCAACCTTTAGGGACCTAATAAATGAAGCTGCATACCTTTCCTTAATATTCTGTCTCTCTGTCGTCTGTACCATTCATACAGCGGAAGAACTTGGCAGCTTCCCACAGGTACATGCCAATACCTTCATGCTTTGCCACATCAGTGATTATGGTTCTGGACAGTGGTGACACAGTGTCTGTCTACCTGGAATAGGGAGGAATATCTAAACCTTTCATGAGGTTTATGGGGAGTGCTTAAGCACCATCCGGGTATGTTCATTATCTAAGAAACATTCGTTAGTGTTTTTTAAAGTTGATTTATTTATTTTGAGAGAGAGTGTGCACAGATGTGGAGGAGGGGCAAAGAGAGAAAGAGGGAAGAAGAGAATCCCAAGCAGGCTCCACGCTGCTAGTGCAGAGCTCTACACGGAACTCAGTCTCATGAACCGTGATCATGACCTGAGCCAAAATCAGGAGCCAGAGGCTTAACCGACTGAGCCACCCAGGTGCCCCAGGAACATTTATCATTTACCAGCTGCCCAGGTTTAAGCTGGCACCTTAGGCAAATCATGAGTCACTGCCGTCATGCCTCTGTGGTATTAATAAGTATCAAAGACTACTTTCTGACACTGAAATCCGGTGAGTAATTTTCCTTTCTGCTGAGCTCACCTTGGACTTCAGCTGGTGAAAACAGCCTGTAGAATAGTTCTCAACCTGCCCGCCATCTTCATTTCTGTATATTTTAAAAAATCATTCTTTCCCTCGCTCCAGGCCCAGCTTAACTGGAGGACCTCCTTGATTACGTGAGCAGGAAGGAGACGTCCTTCCTCTGAGCTCCCAGACATCTTGCTAACACCCCTCTTGAGGTGCCTTTCTTATTTTGCCTTGAGACTGACTTACGTGTGTACTTCTTCCTCCCCCCCCCAACCCCTACTGCTCCCTGCAGCTGCTCCTTGAAGGCAGCAGCTGTGTCTCTGCCATCTTTGTATCCCTCAGGATGGTCCCCGCACCGTGTCACCTGCATGGTCAGCCTGAGTGAGGGTTACATGAGGGCAGTCTTCAGAATCGGGGTTCTTAACTGGGTTCAGACAATGTACCTTCTGTGTAGTGACATAAAATAGAGCCCTGTGTACACACAAATGCTACATACATTTGTAGAGAGTTGAGGGATCCTAAAGATTACCCTGTGTAGACATTTACCTGTGTAGTTAAACTCCTACTAACTAGTCAGCTTGGAACACACATTTAGAAACAAACTGAGGGTTTAGAACAAGCTGAGGGTGGATGGGGGGTGGGGTTGGGGGAAAACGGATGATGGGCACTGAGGAGGGCAATTGTTGGCTTGAGCACTGGGTGTTGTATGTAAGTGATGAATCATGGGAATCTACTCCCGAAGCCAAGAGCACACTGTACACACTGTATGTTAGCCAACTTGACAATAAATTATATAAAACAATAAATAAAACTATCATGATCCAAGAAAGACAAAAAAGAAAGAAAGCTCTTAGTGGCCTGGAGGCATGTGTGTGTTAAGCAGACTTCTCCACTGAGTGTTAAGCTACTCTGCTTTGCACTA